TATATATATGACTAATTGTGAGCAGGGCAGTTAACATGTAGAGATAAGACATCTATCTGTAAAACTGCAGTTTTCTTGTTTCTCTTTAATCCATAGATCTGTTTTATTTTTAAGATAAAAGAATTGTGATTGGAGGTTGGGATCCATGCTATCCTCCTCAGAAAATGGTTAAGAATAGAACTCTTGGCTCTGCACGGAATGATTCAGGGTGTCCTAATTAGAAGGAAGTTAATAACGTCAGATAATCACAGGAATCCTGGGTGCATTTCTTAGTTAAAACCTAGCTCATGCTGACAGCAGTAAAAATACGTAGGGCCTGAGTCAGGCTCCGTATGAAAGAGGAACATATGCTAACGCTGGGAACCGTGAGTGCTGATTTCATTTACAAGAGCTTGCTTCCTGGGCCTGGACTGTGGTGGTATGATGGCACACCCAGAGCAGGCCACCACGTCTCCACCAGGCTTCGTGTCCTTGTGAGCATGCGAGATCCTGCTTAAAATAAATAGTGGCCTCATAATCAAAGTTGGAAACCTAATAAACTTAATAATTCTTCACTCTGAACACCAATCTGCCTACGTCTTCACTGTACGGATCGAATAGAACATTATAAAACTATGACCATAGTAAGGAACTATTTTGAAAAGGTTTCCATTTCTTTCCCACAGAAAAACAGCAATTTCTATTTCATGTCAACCACACTGACACAACAAAATACTTTGGACAGAGGCAAGAATGCAAGAAGACAATGAAGCAATGGCCAGGTTCACTCCTGTGCACCAGATCCAGTCTGGCTTACCGGGGCAGAGCTCATCACACCTTGTGCTATTCACAGTCAATCTACAGGTGAAGGTAAAGACAAATTCAGCGAGTGGGCCAAGTCACAGGGACAGGCACCAGAAACCAGCAATTTCTAGAGTTGCCCAACACCCTTAGGATGGACACACAAGTGTCTTTAGATTTTTAAAGGAAAGAAACCTTGTTACCAAAAATGCTTATCATTAGCCAGAACAGGTTGTCCAGCCATAGATGATGGAGCTGAAACTGCTCACAATCTTTCAGCTTCGAAGTTCCCATGGCAAAACATACATTGATACTAAAATGAATGGAAAGTAAACATCGTCCCTTTTATCCTTTTAATCCCAACATCTTCAGTGACTATCTAAAGAATGAATGATCTGTCACATTCCTCCCAGCAGAAACATCCATTCCAGCGAGTGCAAAGTACATGCAAGTTCACACCAATAATGGATCTGGATGAGGGGGCTGAAGTGCCCACGTGTTGTCCAAAGATCAGTCGGCGATGACTGCTGGTCCAGAGGCCAATGGTTGGTTGGGAGGAGAAAAGGGAGGTGAGGGTAACAAAGTAGGACTAGTGTCTTCTTGCATGCTCCTTCTTCCAAAGCAGGAGAAGTTGAGGAAAAAGGCCAGCAGTCTGTCCTGAATCCTGCTGGAGTAGGAGAGATCTGAAGTCTGATGTGGGAGTTGTGTGGATGCTGGGAGCCATAATGTTGGCCAACCACTAGAGCTGAGCTTCCTCATTAGGCTTCCTCCAAGCTCATCTGCCCTAAAGCATTTCCTGGATGTGCATCAGTGGGGCCTCAACTACTTCAGGGAGGAGAGGTCCAAGGAACCCACCCATATCCCAGGAACAAGCAGGTGTACAAGAGGCTCAAGGGATGGCAGCAGCCAAGTTCACCGGAGCCATCTGCTCTCAATACTGCCACGTGAGTTTCCTGTGGTTGCCGGGAGAAAGTACCACAAACGTGGTGGCTTGAAATAGTAGAAGTTTATTCTCTCACAACTCTGGAAACTCGAAGTCTGAAATCAAGGTATCGGCAGGGCTGTGCTCCCTCTGAAGGCTCTAGGGGCGTATCCTTCATTGCCTCTTCCAGCTTCTGGTGGTTTCAGCTGTTCTTGGGCTTGTGGCTGCATCACTTCCATCTCTGCCTCCGTCTTCACATGACCTTCTCATCTGTGTCTGTGTCTCCTCTTCTGTATCTTTATAAGGACACTTGCCACTGGATTGAGGACCCACTCATGAATCCAGGATAATCACATCTCAAGATCTTAACTACATCTTAATTACATCTGCAAAGACCCTCCTTCTAAATAAGATCACATTCAGAGGTTCCTCAGATTAGGGCATGGACTATCTTTTAGGGGGCTACCATTCAACCCACTAGACGCCATCTTTATAAGTCTCCAAACAACAAAGCACGTAAGAACTGTGATCAGTGTTGGTGCGACCCTGGTTACAGAATGAGATGGCTTGTCATTCTTAACCACAGGAAGAACCCTGGGGAAACATCCAGAGGGTAGGTGGTCGTGCAACCTGTGCAGGGTGGAAGTGCAACCCACCCACTGCTGTGGAGTCGATTCTGACTCACAGCGACCCTATGGACAGAGCAGAACTGCCCCACAGGGTGTCCAAGGCTGTAAACCTTTACGGAAGCAGACTGCCACATCCTTCTCCCACGGTGCGGCTGGTGGGTTCAAACCGCCAACCTTTTGGTTAGCAGCTGAGCACTTAACCACTGCACCACCAGGGCAATCGGTTCTTCATTATTCCTTCCCTGGGACAGATGGGGAAACAAGCAAAGGAAACTGCATTTGGCCACGGGAAGCTCAGTGGCCGTCTGTCCTAAGGCCCTTGAACGCCTTGGTTCAGTTTCTGGCTTGCCGTGAAGATTGGAAATGTAATTAACATTCCACTCACCAGCACGTTGACGGTACAGCTCATCCGATTTTCTTTGTTTTCGTCATGCATAATGGTTCTATAATCTAAAAGTCTTTCCATCAGACGCACAACGAGTTTTACAAAAGTTTCTCCTGTTTTGGCGAGGTATTTATGCTTCCTGCAGTGCTCCAAGAGGCTGGGAAAATAATTAGACGCACCTTGTTAATTACACTCAGAAAAAGAAACTCAACAGAGGTTCAATTTAAAATATTTTCCATTATTAACACGTTTTAATTATTTCTGGGCTACAAAGTTCATTGTCATCTAATTACAGTCTCTCTGCCTATATTTATTCTGAAATAAACCCCACTGTTAATCAACACTTACATTTTATCAAATAACACTTTGTACTGTTCATCTCCTCTGCCTCCTTCCACTTCATGATCCAGTTTGGTGATGATCTCATTTTCAAACTATAATGAAACAGAGAAAGCGTAAATAATCCGTATGGCGGATATTTCATTTCATGACTGAGTGTCAACAGTACATTAATTGGTGAAAGTCTGTCATCAGACAGTCACCCATTACCTTTGAAGCCTGATTTCATTTAAGAGCTGCTGTTCCTGAACCCTGGAGATTTCTGCTGACCCCCTTGGGGAATCTTTCATTTCCCTTCCCTGGTTAATGGGGCCCAAACAGGCCTATTCTGATAGCAGGTGCAAGAACCACAGAAAGAAAGACAAGAAAACCTTAGGGAACAACATCAAGGAGAAACTCAAAAAACGTCTCAAGCTTCATCTCAAAGAACAGGCAACATCTCCACTAGCTGGTCGGTTCATGGAAGGGAACAGATGGCTTTCAACTTGACAGCAAAGAGTTCTCTGCAATCTGAAAACATCCAAGGTCCACTTCACTGTCACTTCTTGGTAAGTCTTAGTACAATATCTCAGCCTGGCTGAGAAAGTATAAAAACGACCGGGAAAATGTCTCTAGAGTGGGTTGAATTGTGCCCCCCACCCCTCAGAAGACATATCCAAGTGGAAACCTTGGGTACCTGAGAATAGGACCTTATCTGGAAATAGGGTCTTTACAGATATAATTAAGAATCTCAAGATGAAACCATTCTGGATTATCCTGGTGGACCCCAAATCCAATGACAAGTGTCCTTATAAGAGACACAAGAGAAGACACAGACACAGATAAGGCCGTATGAAGATGGAGGCAGAGACTGGAGTGATGCATCCACAAGCCAAGGATGCATGCAGCCACCAAAAGCTGGAAGAGGCCAGGAAGAATCCTCGCATAGGGCCTCCAGGAGGAACATGGCTCTGTCGACCCCTAGATTTCAGACCTGAGGTCTCCAGACTTGAAAGAGTGCATTCTGTTGTTGTGGGCCACATGTCTGTGGTGCTCTGTAACAACAGCCCCAGGGAAGCGACAGTCTCTAAACATACCAGCAGACCCCTCGAGCAGGTCCGTCTCCAGGCCTTTCTTCCCACTCCCCAAAGCTCTGGACTAGATTTGGCAGAGCATCGGGGTGGGAAAGGGCCCTCAGAGCTGACTGAGAGTTTCTCAGCTCATGTTTTCCCAAAACTCTAAATTCTGAGGTGGTTCACGTCTCCAGAATGTTTTCTCAGGGGACATGAAACCCACTGCCGACCGGGTTTGAGATAACCACCCTGATAATGATGGAATAGTTTTCCCCCTCCTCGCTGTCCAGTCCCCCAGTGTTGACAGGATCCAAGCCGCCTGGGACTGGAAATCCAGTCAGATGTCAGATGCTTCAGGGGCCCCGAGGTTACCCATCAACCTGTGCCAGGTACCAAAGGGGGCTGGGAGAGGGTTAGTTCCCACGGAGAGGGAGATAGCTGCACTCTGAACGGAAAGAAGGTGGACAAAGGAGGGATAGAAGGAAGTAACACGTGAGTCAGGGTTCAGAAAACAAGCATCCCGAGGCAGGTGTGCAGGGGCTCAGGGATCTCTTTAATACACCTGCTGAGACACCTGGTCTTTTGTGTAACAAGCCCCACGTCCCCCACCATTATCAGGATCCCATAAGGATTTACGCTGCATGAGAGCAAAATTTTCTGCCTCCTTTGTCATTGCTATATCCCCAACACTCTGAACAGAGCCTGATATTGACACTTTTATGCAACAAAGGTGCTGCGTGCACAGAAATTATTTGGAAAAAGTTGGTGTTAAATTGGATGGAGTTGAGGGTGCTTAATATGTCAGCAAAGGAGGACCAGCTGATTATCAAGACCCAACCCTTTCCCTTGCCCACACCGAGCCCCGTGGTAACCACAGCTCACCAGTGTGCTGTTAACATGCATTGCAGGCACCCTCTACTGATGGGGACTGGGGTGGGGGTTGAGGGGGCTGCTGCACTGCAGCTGACTGTTGTGCCGTCCCCCTGTCCCCCTGGGCAGCAACAGAAGGCGAGGGGTCTGGTGCGATCTGCCTGTCCGCGATCAGGTCACATATCTGAAGACACAATTTAATCTCTGCTACAAATGAAACCTTTCCTGATTTTAAATGACTCAGTATCCCGTTCTGTTCAAATGACTGGTTAATCTGAGAAGCTGGACCATATGAAGAAGAACACAGCATCAGGATTGGAGGAAGACTCATTAGCAACCTGCAACATGCAGATGACACAGCCTTGCTTGCTGAAAGTGAAGAGGACTTGAAGCACTTACTGATGAAGATCAAAGACCACACAGCCTTCAGTATGGATTACACCTCAACATAAAGAAAACAAAAATCCTCACAACTGGACCAATAAGCAACATCCTGATAAAGGGAGAAAATATTGAAGTTGTCAAGGAGTTCATTTTACTTGGATCCACAAGCTACGTCCATGGAAGCAGCAGTCAAGAAATCAAAAGATGCACTGCATTGGGCAAATCTGCTGCAAAAGACCTCTTTAAAGTGTTAAAAACCAAAGATGTCACTTTGAGGACTAAGGTGCTCCTGACCCAAGCCATGGTGTTTTCAATCACCTCATACGCATGCTAAAGCGGGACAATGAATAAGACCAAAGACGAGTTGATGCACTTGAATTACGGTGTTGGCAAAGAATATTGAAAATACTATGGACTGCCAGAAGAATGAACAAATCCCTCTTGGAAGAAGGACAGCCAGAATGCTCCTGTCACGGATTGAACTGTGTCTCCCACAAATATCTGTCCACTTGGCTAGGTCATGATTCCCAGTATTGCAGATTGTCTACCATTCTGTAATCTGATGTGATTTCCCTATGTGTTATATATCTTATCACTATGATGTAATACTATGGATTAGCGGCAGTTATATTGATGAAATCTACAAGATTAGATAGTGTCTTAAGCCAATCTCTTTTGAGATATAAAAGAGAGAAGCGAGCAGAGAGACATGGGAACCTCATACCACCAAGAAAGCAGTGCCGGGAGCAGAGTGTGTTCTTTGGACCTGAGGTTCCTGCACAGAGAAGCTCCCAGACCAAGAGAAGATTGATGACAAGGACCTTCCTCCAGAGCTGACAGAGAAAGCCTTCCCCTGGAGCTGATGCCCTGAATTTGGACTTGTAGCCTACTAGACTGTGAGAGAATAAATTTCCCTTCGTTAAAGCCATCCACTTGTGGTACTTCTGCTTATAGCAGCACTAGATGACTAAGACAGCTCCTTAGAAGTGAGGATGGCAAGACTTCTTCTAACATACTTTGGACTTGGTATCAGGAGGGACCAGTCCCTGGAGAAAAACATAATGGTTGGTAGAGTAGAGGGTTATTGAAAACAGAGGAAGACTCTCAATGAGCTGGACTGACACAGTGGCTGCAACAACAGGCTCAAACACGGCGACAGTTGTGAGGATGGTGCAGGACCAGGCGGTGTTTTGTTCTGCTGCACACAGGGTCACCATGAGTCGGAACTGAGTCGATGGCACCTAACAACAACAGATGAAACAGGGCTTAAGACAAGACTGGAGACAAGTACTGATTCTGGCTCAACATCAAGGAGTCAGCAACGTCTCAACAACCCAGACTTTCCTCAATCCTTCTGATTTCCTTCTTGATCTTCCCCATCGTCTCCTCCCCACAGATAACACCCTCTTTTTGATTCTGTTTTGCCCAGAAAGTTCAGGGATTTCAGGAACATAGAAAAAGAGATGGTCTACTGAGGAAGAAAGAGTGACTTGCCTTTTTTTTTTTTTTTTTAACCTGAAGTGTCACGAAAATGACTTCTCCTGTAGAATAACAACCTTTCGATGCTAACCCACTGTTACCCTGCTCTTTACAGACAAGAATCTGCAAAAGGCAGTGCTTTTTGGACTCGAATGCAAGGCAGAGAGCTTGTGACTCGTCCAAGAGTTGGCATTTCAAGGCAGTCCCGATCCGAGATGGTGCCATAAAGGGGACTCCCAAGAGAAGACGACAAGTGACTGCTGATGCTTCAGAGCAAATAATCGAGACGCAGAGTAAGACTAAATTTAATTAAAATGCATTATCCAGTTCTGTACATAGTTAATGAGCACCCACAAAGAGAAAGGCATAGAGAAGGCAGAAAAACATGCCTTATACCAACACATGCAAAACACACACTCAAAATCACTCATCACAGGTCAGTCGGGTGGGATGTGAATTTGGAGTCTATTTTATGCAAACAGCACATTTTCTTTGCTTCTGAGTAAACCTAGCTGTCACAAACCCAGCCAAACCAATGCTGCATCTCCTTTAGCACGCTGCTTATCAAATCTTGAGTGATGAATTTAATGTTTTCTAAAAAGAGTAGATGAATGATTAGTCAATCAGAAGAACACAGCTGATTCTAATTTTACTAACCTCTAGTCTAAACTAAGTAATTTGCACAAACACCTGGCAACCCTGTTGTGTTTATCAGCAAGCATTCAATACCAGAGATCTGCACATAGCTGCTAATTCCAGGGCTTCCGTTCATTTTTTTTTTTAAAAGAATATACAAGAATCAATCGGGTAGTGCGCTGTGAACTGTTATCAGAATCAGAATTAAACGGCCCCGTCCAAATAAACTGGAGAAAGTACTTTTGCTGACAGAGCAGGTTTTATAAAAATCATGTTTATTATGTTTCCTGTAAATACACTTGGGCCGGTCATCTGCAACAGGGTTCTCTATCTTCAGGATGAATTAGCAAGGGTTACTGTGTTGCTCCAAAGGTGGCAGAGGCTCACACGTGTGACAAGCAAAATTATTATATTTTCCTCTTTTCAGAATCACCAATATTGCTACAAAAATATCCACAGGGTGCCCAATTTAAAATATTAAACAGAGTGTCTCCGAGCATCTGGTACTAGCCCTCCGAGAAACTGAAATGTAAGAAGACACATAAGAACACAGGCCCTTCGGAAGGCGGCTGTTACACTGAGCACAGCGGAGCAGGGGGCTGTGCTCCGAGTGGTATCGACTTTGTCGTTAATTCAATTCACTTACAAAGAAAGCCTTGCTTCCGCCACTCCTT